GCTAGCCCAGGCAAAAAAGTCTGTAAGACTCTTAATTTCAATTAACAAGCAAAAAGCTGGAAGTGGAACTGTGGCTTGAGTGTCAAAACCTTGAGTGAAAAATCTATGCAAGAATGTGAGGCCAGAGTTCAAACCCCAGGACCAGTGCTTGTGCCCGCATGCATGCACACACACGCGCGCACACACACACACACACACACACACACACGCAAACACACAGTGGTTAAATGTAAATTAAAACATTAGGGAAAAAATGATGTATAGACTCAGTATCTGGATAGGTATCAATAAATGCCAGAGATTGATGGATAGATGGATAGGTAGGAGCATAGATGGATACTAGATGGATGGATGATAGATAAATGGATGGATGGGTGATGGATGGATAGATGGAAGGATGATGAGTGGATGCATGATGGATGGGTAGATGGATGACAAATGGATTGATGGGTGGGTGGGTAGATGGATGGATGATGGATGGTTGGATGATGGATGGATGATGGAAGGATGGGTCATGGATAGATAGAAGGATGATGAGTGGATGCATGATGGGTGGATGGATGGATGGATGAATGGATGGATGGATGGGTAGGTGGTAGGTGGATGGATAGATGGTTGGGTAGGTGGTGAGTGGATGGATGGATGGATGATGGAAGGATGGGTCATGGATAGATGGAAGGATGATGAGTGGATGCATGATGGATGGGTAGATGGATGGATGGATGATGGTGGATGGATGGGTAGATGGATGGATGATGGATGGATGGGAGAATGATGGATGGATGGATGATGGATGGATGATGGAAGGATGGGTCGTGGATAGATGGAAGGATGATGAGTAGACGCATGACAGAGGGTAGATGGATGATGGATGGCAAGCAGAGTCTGGGTGATCTTTACAGGCAGCAAGTGGATCACCCGGCAAGTCTTGTGTGTGAACCCCAAGGTGCTGAGGAGGAGGTGTGGGCATCCGGGACCATCCTCGGAGAGGAGGGCCAAGGCCAGGGCACCAGGAGGCACCTGGTTTCAGAGCCCTCTGCCATAGAGAAATGTGTGGCTGGAGAGCTGGGGCCGGGCATGGAGGGGGTTAATGGGGGACGCTTCCGCAAGGGGGTGCTAGGACAGATAAATGGCAAGGCTCTCTGTGCGAGAAAACAGAAGAGCAGCGATTACAGAAAGCTGCTTCCCGCGAGAGCAAAAAGCCGGTGTGCCTTCTGTGACTTTAATCGATCCTGATTGGGCTGTCCCATCACATTTCATTTGCATACGTCTTTATTATCTATTAGTATAAATATTGCATCAACTGCTGTGAAGAGCAGGCGAGATTTGCCCTCCTGGCTTTATTTATAAGTTGGCTCACTTATGAGACTTTCTACTCCTTAAAAAATATCTCCCTTCGTCTTGAAAACTGTAAGTGGTTAATTACAAACATACATTAATATAATGTAGTTAATGTGCTTGTAATCGATTTCTCTCTTTTAATTGGGTCCTGATTTGCTCATAACTAGGTTTAGCTTCCTTCTTGATTAAAGTTGAAGGCGTGTGCGGTTAGGTATGGGTTTTATACACAGATCTCCGACTGAGCCTCTGAACCAGTGCAGGGTACATGAATGAAGACTGGTGTGCACGCTCTCTGTTATCTCCTTTGGAGGGGAGGGGCAATTCCGGGCCTTAAACTCAGGGCCTGGGCACTGTACCTTAGCTTTTTCTCTCATGGCTAGCACGCTACCCTGCGAGCCACAGCTCTACTTCTAGCTTCTTGTTAGTTAATTGGATTTTTGTTTGTTTTGCCAGTCCTGGATCTTGTACTCAGGGCCTGCGAACTGTCCCTGCCTGAGCTTCTTTTGCTCAAGGCAAGCACTCTACCACTAAGCCACATTCCCAGCCCTTGCTAGTTAATTGGAGATACGATTCTCACAGGCTTTTCTGCCCAGGCTGGATTCAACCACAATCCTCAGATCTCAGCCTCCTGAGTAGCTAGGATTACAGGCGTGAGCTATTGACACCCAGCTTTGTTAGACCCTCTTGAGAAGAGAAAAAGAACTTTCAGTTGGGAATTTTTTTAGCCATACCAGTGGCGGGGGGGAGGGGGGGAAATGGAGGAAAAATAAACTTCGTAGTGTGTGGTACGATTGGTAGACCTATAGTGAATAAATCTGACTTTTTTTTTATGTCATTCCATGTTATTCAAATGGGTGCTCTTTTTTTTCTTTGAGAGGATTTTAAAGCATAAATAGATTTGTCATAGTACAAGGTCAGAATTAGTTCTCTGGATGGCAAGTTATTCACTCAATATTAATTCTGTTTTATGAACAAATGCAATTAAGTTGCAAATCCCTTCACCGAGTACAATGTTAGGCCAATGTTTTAATGGGCATTAAGAAATGTCAGCTTAGCATCTCCAAGGAAGACAAAGTCTGCGGGGCACTGAGAACAGTGAGTTTGGTTCAAAGCTGCTTCTTGGCCTTGTACCAGGGAGAGGGGCTAACCGCGCCTCCCCATACCCACCTGAGCAGGAGAGACCTTCTCTCCAAGTCACCATCCCGTGGCTGGGGACCCAGCCGTCCTGTGCTCACATGTGAACCACAGAACACATCGTAGCATTGCTCGAGCAGCACATGACTGTGGACACCCTGCAGACACAACCGCTCGAACCTGCAGAGCTGCCAAGAGAAGACTCAACCACAGTGCAACAACCCAGTGAAAGCCAGGCAAAGCCCTGGGCAGACACAGACCGGCCAATGGCAAGTGAAAAGAGCTTTGACGTCACTCATCACTAGGGAAATGAGAAAGAAAACCACCCAGAGGCACCGTGCACACCCAATGCCTTTGGCTCTCCATGAAACCCACACGCGCCAGAGAATGAATTCCGTGAGACCTGAGCAATGGGAATCTGTGTGCACTTCTGGTGAGAGTGTAAAATCCTGTGGAAGTTAGGATCAAGATTCATTTTCGGCCGGGCACTGGTGGCTCACGCCTGTCATCCTAGCTACTCAGGAGGCTGAGATCTGAGGATCATGGTTCAAAGCCAGCCCGGGCAGGAAATGTCCGTGAAACTCTTATCTCCAATAAACCACTCAGAAAACTGGAAATAGTGCTGTGGCTCAAGAGTGGTAGAGTGCTAGCCCTGAGCTGAAGAGCTGAGGGACAGCGCCCAGGCCCAGAGTTCAGCCCCACCACCGACAAAAGGAAAGAAAGAAAGGAAGAAAGAAAGGAAGGAAGGAAGGAAGGAAGGAAGGAAGGAAGGAAGGAAGGAAGGAAGGAAGGAAGGAAGGAAGGAAGGAAGGGATTCATTTTTCCATGAGGCAGCAATTCCACTGTTGTTCGCACAGAATTGACGGCCAGGACTCTACAGAGATGCACACCCCCGTGCCCCTGGCGGCATCGCGTACAGCAGCCAAGAGATGGAAATAACTCACGCAGGCCAGCTACCAATGAAGGATAAGCCAGTGTGACCTCTACAGCCAGTGGAATATTATGCTGTCCTAAAAATGGAATGGGGCTCTCATTTACACTACTGTGCAGATGAATTTCAAAAACAGTATGCCTACCCATTATGAAGAACTGTCTGGTGGCATCACACAGCATCGTGAATGAAATGAATGCTGCCCAAAGGTACACTTAAACATGAGTAAAATAGCAACTTTATGAGATCAAATAATAATATACACATGCGTTGTATAGATATATATATTAGTTATGTACAATATTTAAATTAATAATGAGGAGGGCAAGGGATAGACCTCAGGGATCGAGTGCTTCCCTAGCATGCCCAAGGCCTTGAGTTCGATTCCTACAGATTTTCCATGGTCACTTCCTGTTCATTTCCTCCTGATATTCCCACTCGTTCATTCACACACCTATGTCGAGTCTCTTTAGCCCAGGTGGTCTGAGCAATGTAATCAATGTCCCAAAACCCCGGGGCTCACTTCAACTTGAGTTCTCCCTGGTGCCCAATAATTTAGCCCCTTGCTCTCCTAGCCCTGGGCCCCTCATCTGCAGGCCCCGCCCCTCATCCTGCCCCCATGAGGACCGCTCATCTCTCCTCTGCTCACCTCTGGAGTGCCAGACGTGAGGCGGGTCCATCCACTAGGCAGAACTCACTTCACGGAGCCTGGACACAGGTGGGCTGAGAGTCAGGAGGACAGGAAGAGCCAGGCCTGAAAGGAAAGCTCCCTGGGTGAGAGTTCTTGTCCACCATAGGCGCTGTCTCCAGCACAGAGCCGGGGTGTAGGAACCTTTGGCTAACACGGGGCCTCGTGCTGGGACCGGGCTCTGGGCTGCCAGGCTTCCTCACCTGCCAAGGAGGGAGGGGTGGGGGACAGTGGAGAAGGAAGAGGGAGGGAGGGGTGCAGAGGGGAGGGCCAGATTTGGAAACAGAGGCCCGCTGCTGTGCAGCATCCCTCCCCCAAGGCCAGAGCTCGGGGCCCATTTGGGACACAGGAACCCCTGCCTCTAACCCCGCACTCCACCCACTGGCTGACTGCAGGCCCGTCTCCATTCTATCCGTGAGCCATGTGTGACAAGACCCGCTTCCTAGGGGAGCCTCTCTCTCGGTCTCTGCCCCCCCAGCCCCCCCCTCTGCCCCCCAGCCTCTCTCTCTCTCTGTCTGTCTCTCTCTGCCCCCCAGCCTCTCTCTCTCTCTCTCTGTCTCTCTCTGCCCCCCAGCCCCTCTCTCAGTCTCTCTGTCTGTCTGTCTGTCTGTCTGTCTGTCTCTCTCGGCCCCCCAGCCTCTCTCAGTCTCTCTCTCTCTCTCTCTCTCTCTGTCTGTCTGTCTCTCTCTCTCTCTCTCTGCCCCCCAGCCTCTCTCTCTCTCTCTCTCTCTCTGTCTCTCTCTCTGCCCCCCCAGCCTCTGAACGCCGAGGGCTGGGGATGGATTGATCCTGCTGTGCCCCCCACGCGGGCTCACGCTGTACCAGAGGACTAGTGAGTTACACAGTGGCTCAGCGTCAGAGCGCCCGCCTCGCCGGCATGAGGCCCGGGTTCGATTCCTCAGCGCCATGACAGCAGGAGATGCCGGCAGTGGCGCTGCGGCTCCGGTGGGGGCGCTGGCCCGGGCTGAGGAGCTGAGGGCAGCGCCAGGCCTGGAGCGCAGGCCCACGGGAGCGCAGCCCCACGGGAGCGCAGCCCACGGGAGCGCAGCCCCACGGGAGTGCAGCCCCACGGGAGTGCAGGCCCACGGGAGCACAGGCTCACGGGAGCGCAGCCCCACAGGAGTGCAGCCCCACAGGAGTGCAGCCCCACAGGAGTGCAGCCCCACGGGAGTGCAGGCCCACGGGAGCGCAGCCCAGGCCCCACAGGAGCGCGGCCCACGGGAGCGCAGGCCCACAGGAGTGCAGCCCCACGGGAGTGCAGGCCCACGGGAGCGCAGCCCAGGCCCCACGGGAGCGCAGGCCACGGGAGCGCAGGCCCACGGGAGCGCAGCCCACGGGAGCGCAGCCCACGGGAGCGCAGGCCCATGGGAGTGCAGCCCCACGGGAGCGCAGCCCACGGGAGCACAGGCCCACAGGAGTGCAGCCCCACGGGAGCGCAGCCCACGGGAGCACAGGCCCACAGGAGTGCAGCCCCACGGGAGCGCAGCCCACGGGAGTGCAGCCCACGGGAGCGCAGCCCACGGGAGTGCAGCCCACGGGAGTGCAGCCCACGGGAGCGCAGCCCACGGGAGCGCAGCCCACGGGAGCACAGGCCCACAGGAGCGCAGCCCCACGGGAGCGCAGCCCCACGGGAGCGCAGGCCCACGGGAGCGCAGGCCCACGGGAGCGCAGCCCACGGGAGCGCAGGCCCACGGGAGCCCACGGGAGCGCAGCCCACGGGAGCCCAGGCCCACGGGAGCGCAGCCCACGGGAGCGCAGGCCCACGGGAGTGCAGGCCCACGGGAGCGCAGCCCAGGCCCCACGGGAGTGCAGGCCACGGGAGCGCAGGCCCACGGGAGCGCAGCCCAGGCCCCACGGGAGCGCAGGCCCACGGGAGCGCAGCCCCACGGGAGCGCAGCCCACGGGAGTGCAGGCCCACGGGAGCGCAGCCCAGGCCCCACGGGAGCGCAGCCCACGGGAGCGCAGCCCCACGGGAGCGCAGCCCACGGGAGCGCAGGCCCACGGGAGCGCAGGCCACGGGAGCGCAGGCCCACGGGAGCGCAGCCCACGGGAGCGCAGGCCACGGGCGCGCAGCCCAAGGGCGCGCAGCCCACGGGAGCGCAGCCCCACGGGATCGCAGCCCACGGGAGCGCAGCCCACGGGAGCGCAGGCCCACGGGAGCGCAGCCCACGGGAGCGCAGCCCCACGGGAGCGCAGGCCACGGGATCGCAGCCCACGGGAGCACAGGCCCACGGGAGCGCAGCCCACGGGAGCGCAGGCCCACGGGAGCGCAGCCCACGGGAGTGCAGCCCACGGGAGCGCAGCCCACGGGAGTGCAGGCCCTCGGGAGCGCAGCACTCGCGCAGCCCACGGGAGCGCAGGCCCACGGGAGCGCAGCCCACAGGAGCGCAGGCCCACGGGAGCGCAGCCCCACGGGAGCGCAGCCCTCGGGAGCGCAGCCCACGGGAGTGCAGGCCCACGGGAGCGCAGGCCCACGGGAGTGCAGCCCACGGGAGCGCAGGCCCACGGGAGCGCAGCCCCACGGGAGCGCAGCCCTCGGGAGCGCAGCCCACGGGAGTGCAGGCCCACGGGAGCGCAGCCCCACGGGAGCGCAGCCCACGGGAGCGCAGGCCCACGGGAGCCCACGGGAGCGCAGCCCACAGGAGCGCAGGCCCACGGGAGCGCGGCCCCACGGGAGCGCGGCCCCACGGGAGCGCAGGCCCACGGGAGCGCAGGCCCACGGGAGCGCAGGCCCACGGGAGCGCAGGCCCACGGGAGCGCAGGCCCACGGGAGCGCAGGCCCACGGGAGCGCAGCCCACGGGAGCGCGGCCCACGGGAGCGCGGCCCTCGGGAGCGCAGGCCCACGGGAGTGCAGCCCCACGGGAGTGCAGCCCTCGGGAGCGCAGCACTCGCGCAGCCCACGGGAGTGCAGGCCCACGGGAGCGCAGGCCACGGGAGCGCAGGCCACGGGAGCGCAGCCCACGGGAGTTCAGGCCCTCGGCCGGCAGGACCTTTGTGCAGCGCAGGACGGGCGGCCCAGGGCGGGCTCGGGGCGGCTGGGGACCGGGAGCCGGAGGAGCAGCCTCGCGGGCCGCCTCTGTCCGTGGTGCTGACCTCGCCCGCCGGCTCCCACCGCGGGTTTCCTCGGACCCAGCCCCGCACGGCCCCGCACACCCCAGCCCGGGCCGGGCACGCGCACAGCCCCGCACGGCCCCGCACACCCCAGCCCGGGTCGGGCACGCGCACAGCCCCGCCCCCCCGGAGCCGGGCACGCGCACAGTCCCGCACACCCCAGCCCGGGTCGGGCACTCGCACAGCCCCGCCCCCGGAGCCGGGCACGCGCACAGCCCCGACCCTGACCTCGGGCACGTGCACGGCCCCGCACACCCTTCCCGGAGCCGGGCACGCGCACGGCCCCGCACGGCCCCGCACACCCCCGGAGCCGGGCACGCGCACACCCCTTCCGGAGTCGGGCACGCGCACGGCCCCGCACGGCCCCGCACACCCCCAGAGCCGGGCACGCGCACGGCCCCGCACGGCCCCGCACACCCCCGGAGCCGGGCACGCGCACGGCCCCGCACACCCCCGGAGCCGGGCACGCGCACGGCCCCGCACATCCCCGGAGCTGGGCACGCGCACAGCCCCGACCCCGACCTCGGGCACGCGCACAGCCCCGCACACCCCTCCCGGAGCCGGGCACGCGCACAGCCCCGACCCCGACCTCGGGCGCGCGCACGCGCACACCCCTCCCGGAGCCGGGCACGCGCACAGCCCTGCACACCCCTCCCGGAGCCGGGCACGCGCACAGCCCTGCACACCCCTCCCGGAGCCGGGCACGCGCACAGCCCCGACCCCGACCTCGGGCACGCGCACGGCCCCGACCCCGACCTCGGGCACGCGCACGGCCCGGGCGCGTTCTCGCGAAGCTGGGCTCTGCTCCCGCAGCAGTGCTCGCAGCGAGCCGGGTCTGAGCGCCCCCGGCCGGTCCGAACCCTGGCGGACCTGAGAGGCTGCCTGTACCCGTCACACACGGGTCTATACCGACTCGTTTGGGCCCTGGGCGCGCTCGGCCCCGCGGGGACTCGGGCGGGCGCAGGTCCGCCGGGGGCGCCCCGGACCGGGCCGGAGGAAGGGGGTCCCGGCCGCAAAGCCACCGGCAACGAGCCGATCGCCAGTCAGCCAGGGCCGCATCCGGCCATCATCCCAGGAAGAGAGCCAGGCGCTGAGCTGATGGAAACAGATGTTCTCGGCCTGAAAGTGGGGCAGGGAGGGGGGCGGGCAGAGAGGGGGAGGGGGCAGGGAGGGGGCGGGCAGGGAGGGGGAGGGATGGGAGGGGGAGGGGGCAGGGAGGGGGGCGGGCAGAGAGGGGGAGGGGGCAGGGAGGGGGAGGGATGGGAGGGGGAGGGGGCAGGGAGGGGGGCGGGCAGAGAGGGGGAGGGGGCAGGGAGGGGGGCGGGGCAGGGAGGGGGGCGGGCAGGGAGGGGGAGGGGGCAGGGAGGGGGAGGGGTGGGAGGGGGAGGAGGAGGGGGGTGGGGGTGGGAGGAGGAGGGCCTAGGAGGAGGAGAGGGAGGGAGGGGGAGGGGTGGGAGGGGGAGGGGTGGGAGGGGGAGGGGGCTGGGAGGAGGGTGGGTAGGGAGGGGGAGGGGTGGGAGGGGGCGGGCAGGGAGGGGGAGGGGGCAGGGAGGGGGAGGGGTGGGAGGGGGAGGGCCTAGGAGGGGGAGAGGGAAGGAGGGGGGAGAGGTGGGAGGGGGAACGGGTGGGAAGGGGAGGGGCCGGGAGAGGGGAAGGGCAGGGGAAAAGGCCGGAGAGGGGAAGGGCAAGGGAGGGGGTGCAGGGGAGGGGAAGAGGGAGGGGAGGGAAAGGAGTAGAGGAGGAAGAAGGGGTGGGAGAAAGGAGCAAGGGAGGGAAGGGCAGGGGAGGGGAAGGGCAGAGGGGCCACAGCCAGGGAGGAGCCCCCGGCAGCAGCTATGGCCTGCAAACTTCTGCCCAGGAAGTTCGAGACACACAGGGGCGCAGCAAGCCCCCAGATCTCCCATCATGCTTTGCCGTTATTTCCTGGCTCCCCCAGGCCCCGGTGCCAGCCGTTCCCAGCGGCATCCGAACACTGCACCCATAAATATTTGAGGCTGTATCTCTCACATATTAGAACATTCCTCAACACAACCCACTTTGCTTGTCATCCTGAATGGCTGGAAGCGCCGTCTACCGCGGCCCCCCGCCTTCCTCGTCTCTCAAAAGCGTCTTTTGAGGGCCTACTTGGAATCACCCCCCCAACCTGCCCACGCTGCACCGCTGCACCGCGCACGGCGCTTTCCTGTTGCTGACGGTGCTTTTCGTCTCTTCCTCCTGTCTTTTCCTGCGTGGGGCCGATGGTCAGGTGCTGGGCCTGGCACAGTAGCACGTGCGGGAGATCCTAGCTATGAGGAGGCAGAGGTAGGAGGATCGTGGTCTGAGGTCAGCCTGAGCAAAAGCACTAAAAGCAAAAGGGCTGGGGTCGTAGCTTGCGTGGTAGGGGCACGAGAGAAGTGCTGAGAAGGAAGGAAGGGAAGAAGGGAAGACAGGAGGAAGGAAGGAGGGACGAGGGAGGGAGGGAGGGAGGGAGGGGGAGGGCAGATCCTCCGTCTTCCAGAACTGTCCCCAGGGTTGGCTGGGTGGACATTTCGGTGTCACTGAACCAGCCGCGCTGCCCCTGGTTCCCGCAATGTAGCATTTAGACCCAGGACCCATCCGACACGCAGAGCAAGCAGATGTGTGGGACACAGCCTATCATCCGACTGGCTCAGATGAGGGGCACTTCCGGTCAGGTCTTCCCTTTGGGGGATACTACGAATGACCAGCAGGAGCCGGGCACCGGTGGCTCCCGCCCAACATGCTAGCTACTCAGGAGGCTGAGATCTGAGGATCGCGGTTCAAAGCCAGCCCTGCAGGAAAGTCCATGAGACTCTCATCTCCAATGAACCACTCAGAAAACCAGAAGCGGCGCTGTGGCTCAAGTAGAGCACTCGCCTTGAGCTGAAGAGCTGAGGGACAACGCCCAGGCCCAGAGTTCAAGACCCATGACCAACAAAAAAAAAAAAACAAAAACAGAAACAAATGACCAGCAGGTTCTGCTGCTGCCCCCTGGTCCTGTGTATGAAGTCCCCACCTTTCATGGATCCTGAGCTGTGGCGTGGGGGGGGGGGGGGCGGAAGTCCCACCTGTGGGACAGCAGGTTGCATGGACCCAGGTGAAGGGACAGAGGAGGGGGGAAGGGATGGGGGTGGGGACAGAGGATGGGGGTGGGGGAAGGGCCAGGGGCCAGGGCCTGAGGAGAGCACACTGGCCAGACAGGAAGTGGCTGTCCAGGCAGAGCCTGGCCCGTGCTGGGGGAGAGCAGGAGGCAGCAGGGAGGGTGAGCGGGGCCCAGCTGGGGTGCAGGTGGTCACCAGGCCAGTCCCCCAGGCCACCCCACTCACAGGGAGGACAGGAGGGTTGCTTCCTGAGCAACATCCATATCCAAACTTTCTGGAAGCTTCTCAGTGTGTCATGCAGGTGCCCTGTGCCCACACAGCAGGTGTGGAAGGGTGGAGGGTGATCCAGGCCTGATAAGGCTTTCCCCTCCTCCAAAGTCCCCCCCACACTGCTTCAAGCTTGAGCCCTGGCTCACAGTCTCCACCCTTTGTGCCTCAGTTTCTGTGTGTGTGTGTGTGGTGTCAGTCACGGGTCTTGAACTCTGGGCCTGGGTGCTGTCCCTCAGCTCTTCAGCTCAAGGCAAGAGCGCTACCACTTGAGCCACAGCACCACTTCCGGTTTTCTGGTGGTTCATTGGAGATTAGAGTCTCATGGACTTTTGTTTCCAGGCTGGCTTTGAACCACGATCCTCAGATCTCAGCCTCCTGAGTAGTTAGAATGACAGGCGTGAGCCACCGGTGCCTCAGTTTCTTAATCTGTAAAATTGCATCTGTAAAATCTGCTCCAAATAGGGAAAGTTGGAATGACTCAACTTACCTCAAGTGCTCAGGCCAGAGTTAATGCACAGCAAGTATCTAATGACTTTAACATCTCTCTTTCCAGCAATATCTATGTCCACATCAGGGTAAAGTTGAGATGTCTGTCCTCAGGCTCAGGGAGGTGTCCACCCAGTCCACTCAAGGCGGGGAGGGGGCGGGTTCACCCTGGGTCCCCACCCACTCCCTCCTGGGAGGAGGGGCCGGCCCGAGGGTCAGGAGTCCCCTTGTAATGCCACCTCACCCTGGGGCCCAAGGGTCAATGCCACCTGTAGCCCACAACTTATTCCATTCTAGAGAGGACACGACAGGCCTAGTGTTCCAGCTAAGGGTAAAAAGGCTGAGTCTGGAAGCTCACGCCTGTAATCCTAGCTACTCAGGAGGCTGAGATCTGAGGATCAGGGTTCAAAGCCAGCCTGGGCAGGAAAGTCCAGACATAAAAAAAGCCAGACATGGAGCTGTGGTTCAAGAGGTAGGGCACCAGCTTTCAGCAAAAAAAAAAAAAAAGCTCAAGGACAGTGCCCAGACTCTGAGTTCAAACCCCAATATGGGCACACACCAAAAAAGTAAGGAGGCTGAAGGGTCACACAGGGGTCCCCCTCTTACACACCTACCCTCCGGGGGGTCCATCAGCACTGTCACAGGCCGCTTCAGAGCCTGCACACAGGCCCACAGAGGGTTAAACCCGGCTGCCCCCCTTCCCTGCTCCCCCCTGCTGACTCAGCTCCCCCACTTCCCCAGCTATTCTGGGACAATAGAGGCAGCAGATGGCCAGAGTCCTCTTCCCTCCAGCCGACCCTCCTGATCCCGGAACAACCCCAGAATCTGCTGCTGCTTCAAAAACCAGGCCAGCCGGCCGGCAGCCTGCCACGCGGAGGGGAAACAGCAGCTGGGCCACGGCGCTGGGAGGCCCGGCCGTGCGCCCAGGGGAAGAACCGGCCCCGGGCCACCTCAGAGCCGGCACCTCAGAGCCCCCACCTCAGAGCCTCCACCTCAGAGCCTCCACCTCAGAGCCTCCATCTCAGAGCCTCCACCTCAGAGCCTCCACCTCAGAGCCTCCACCTCAGAGCCTCCACCTCAGAGCCTCCACCTCAGAGCCTCCATCTCAGAGCCTCCACCTCAGAGCC